TTATTCCTGTCTTTTCCTACTCTTCCCTCTCTCCTCAGGGGCTGGCTTGCTTGATGAGAGGATGGCTCCCTAGGGGAAAGATTCTGGGGAGTCTTATAAGATGCAGGCTAACCTGTGTCCTCTTAATCCTGGCCCATTGTCCCCTCACCCTCAACTGCTGACCCTTGCCCCTTTCTGCTATGTGTTGCACCAAAGGCCTGTAGGGGGCACCAACAACCAAGCTTGTGATGTGAATCTATGGTTTCTCCAAGATACCCAGGCAGCTGGAGTGGACCCCCACTGAAGGGGTCAGGAGTTTGGTTCTATAGGCCCCTTTGCTCTGGGTCTGTTGGACAGAGGCTACAATGCAGCTGTCCAGGCCCTAAGGGGTTGGGGGGAAGGCTGCTGTGTCCCCAGGATCCCACAGTGTTGGGGGTCACGGTTGGGGACCATCCTTCATTTTCTCTTCCCTACTCAGAAGCAGAGGCAGCTTTGTCTTCTCTCTGACTCTTACTAGCTGGGTGACCTTGGGCAAGGTACTTCTCCTCTCTGGGCCTCAGTTTTTCCCTATGAAGAATGGGGGACTTAGAATAGAAGATCTTTGAGGTCATGCATTCCAGCTCTAAAGCCATGATCCCTCTCCTCTCCAAAACTCTGGCCTCTGATAGAAATGGAATCTGTGCCTCTTTCTCTCAGTATTGTATGTCTCACACCCTCAATCAAGCAACAAGCATTAATTAATCAATTAATTAACTATCTGATTAATTAATTATGTGCTATGCTAGGTGCTGGGGATATAGAGATGAAGGAAAAATAGTCCCTGCCTTTAAGTGGCTTACACTACCTTAAGGTAGACACTGTACAAACAGGGAGTTGGATTGGTGTGGCGGAGACAATACTGGATCTGTACTTGGAGGATCTGCGTTCAAATCCTGCCTCTTCCACCAAGTGTCTTTGTGATCTTGGGCAAATCACTTATATCTCTAGGCCTCAGTTTCCTATCTGTGAAATGAGGAGGTTGGATGAAATAGCCTCTGGGGTCCTTTCCAGCTCTAAATTTATGATTCTACATAAAAAATACTTTGGTTCAAAAAATATATATTTTGATATATATATCAAAACATATACATACACATATACATATGCACATACACATACACATATATACATAGACATAAACACACATCTTCCACTAGGTGTCTTTAGGCCTTTATCAAATGAGATAAGTTTTGTTAAATGTTTAGCACATTGTCTGGTGAATAGTAGGCTCTTAGTAAGTGCTTCCCTCCCTCCCTTCCTTCTTTCCTTCTTCCTTCCCTCCCTTCTTTCCTTCCTTCCTCCCTTCCCTCCCTCTCATCCTTCCTTCCTTCTTCCCTTCCCTCTCTCCCTTCTTTCTTTCCTTCTTTCCTCCTTCCGTCCCTCCCTTTCTTCCTCCTTCCCTTCCCTCCCTTTCTTCCTCCTTCCCTTCCCTCCCTTCTTTCCTCCTTCCTTCTCTCTCTCTCTTCTTTCTGTCCTCCCTTCCTCCCTTCTTTCTTTCCTTCC